TAGAGTAAGGTTATGTAGGGTCGAAAAACCATGTTTTTTAACAATTTTTTTCCGCGCACTCGTGACAGTATCATGTTTTATAATAGGCCTACTACACGGCAAATTTCATCAGCTTTCCGAATCTCTTCTTGATTTTTACCGGAGATGTATACTTTTTTCGCATAAGCTTCCCCCAAACGCGCTGTTTTCGCTGGTATCGCGCCTCGGCCGGGACTCGACCATTGCGTTTCCAGGCCCTGATTAGGTTTGTTAGTTTAGGTTTGCTTTCTTAAGAGCAAAGACGGCACGCACAAATTTAGTGAGTTTTGTTAGTTGGTGACTTAGCGCCTTCGCCTGCGACGTGCACCCCTGTTACCATCGCACACTGCGCCGCAGTTCAAGCGTTCTCCCCCCGTCCCCTGACCGGAGCGCCGCAGTCCGGGCACGGCATTTATTTCCCGGCCCCCGCCTCACAGGTAGGCGGCAGCCAGGTAGCGCCGCAGTTCGAGTTGTGCCGCCGGGGAAAGGTAACGATCGATAAAAACCACAAAGAAAATATTTTCCTTTTTGGCTATCGGCTGCACCCCCAGCTGCACCCCGGGCTGCATCATATTGCCCTCCCCCCCCCCTAGATTCCTACATCAAATGTGCATCTAGAGCGTACTGAAAACGAACATTTGGCGTACTGCAAGCGAACACTCGGCCGGGTTACTTGAATACGGTACGGCTCTTGCTTCAGCCGCTACCCCAGGAAAGGCCTGCTCGTGCCGCCAACCGTATCTCTCTACACCGTGGACACATCCTTCCTCTATGCGACTTCCACTCTTAGACTGACGAGGACGAGATCGTGGGCTGGAGCCGCAGAGTGTGCAGTGCAGACGTTACCACAGGTACCCCAGGCGTGTCACCGTGCGCCGGTCAAGGGATTAGCGCCAGCGCCCAGCCGGGGGTTTACTAGGAAGGAAAAAACCCGCTGAACACGGGCACTGCAGGTGCGGGGCGGGCCAACCGAGCGAACAAAAGTGGTACTCGAGTCGCTATCAGAGCGGATATGACGATGATGTGATATGATATTGTGTG